TTATTTAGAATGTAGAGTTAATATCATCATCATGGGAAAGCACAGTTGTTTCGATTACAAAATCGATAAAAATATTATGGCTGCGGATGTTAATGTTTGTCTTCACGGTTTTATTTTGTACATGCCATTACACGTAGCGGAAATTGTTTGCCACTATAACTTTGTGTATATACATATAATTGGAAAATATTTAAAGTTTTATTTAAAATTAAAAATTAGAGTATATATGAATAATATAATAAAATTTTACTTTATCATTCTTCACATGATCGAAAATTACTAAAATTATTAAATGTTTACGAAGAATATTCTGCAGTGATAATAGATATTTGATGCTCATTACGATATTTATTTCCTCTCTATTTTGCTTCCTCATAGAGGAAGCTTTGTGATGGTGAAAAAAAATTTTTTCGAGATTTTGATGGAAATAGGTTTAGAATGTTCTAAAATGTCGAAAAATCGTATTAGTAAAAAATGTCCGGAAGTATTGTGTATGTGTGTGTATGTACGGATTTTTTGTACACGCATCTACTTCTACAATTTTTTAGATACCGGGTTGAAATTTTTCACACAAATAGAGTATCATAGAAAGTATATTTTTCTCAAATTTTATTAAAATCGGTTGACCGGTATAGATTTTATTGAAAATTTTTTTTTTTAGAAAAGTGTGTTTTATCCTATAGCTTTCTCAATATTTGAGATAACAATCTATATCTAATTCTATTAAATTTTTCAGTTTTTTCTACCCCTATTTCATATATAATTAATTAAGATTTGGTTAATTAGTTCTGGAGTTACAGACGTATGAAATTTCGGAGATTTTGATCGCGTATAAAGCTAAGTCTAATCAACCGAATTTAAAAGAATTATATATGAAATAGGGGTAGAAAAGACTGAAAAATATAATAAAATTAAAAATAGATCAATATCTCCAAATTTGCGAAAGTTAAAGCTTCCTCTATGAGGAAGCCAAGTGCAAATTTCTAATTTTTTTGTTTTATTTGAAAGTCGAAATGTCATTTTCTACTGTAAGAGAATGTTATTATGAAATTAAATAAGTTTAATAATACTTAAGTTTTAAGTCGGGACGTGATGAAACTGACACTAATCTATTTTCACTTGGAAAATATGGTATGTGTCAATTTATAGCAAATTTATTCGATTTTGAAATTTTACGCTGCTACTGGTTGCCCCTTATCTCTTCTGAGCATCAAAAGTCGAGACGACAGGTGACAGCGGCTAGACGCGTTACCGGATATATCGCTGGGGTATCATGAACATCCATTTCGATCCATTGCGATTTTCCTTCGAAACAAAAAGTAACTTAGCAGACCTTAACCGATCTTTTTTATCAGTTTTGACAGCCACAAACGCATTTTTCTCACAGTGTAATATTCGCTAAATGAATTTTGCTGATATGCAAAATTGAAGCAAAATGATGCTGTCGCTTGATGGTACCTAGTTTCATTTCGCGGAACGAGACATAAGGAGGATTCCAAGTAATAAAGTTTAATGAATTCGTGTGTGAATTAACAACCTGCCTGAACGTAAAGTCTGAGCGCAAAATGAAATTTTGGATCTTTAAAACGCGACATGATAATATAGACATATAAGTGGCGACGCGACGGTCATATATACATGTATATGTTCTTAATTAGGTCCCTTGTTCTAGGGTTATATATCCAAGAAAAGAGATAGTCCTCGAATAGCACTTTCCCAAGTTTAATCAAGCTCCATTTTGACTGGAATGTTCTTTAGTAATTATAATTCTTATTGTCTGAAATTACTTACGCCTATAGATTAATTAGATGTCAGTGAATGATTATCTGATGTACATAAAACATTGACGAACCATATATAATATTTATTTTTTTCTATAATACGTTTTACATGCAACTACTAGAAATCGAACAAAAAATATGTTATCCTGATTGTGATATAAAAAACCGTGGATTGTACCGTATATGTGTACGTACGCGCGTGTATGTGCGTGCGTCTACGCGCTTAAATGCAGGTTTTACTACGTGTACTGCAATTTGTTTCATATGATGCCATGCACCTGCACAAGAGCTCTATTTTATACTACAAATGGCAAAGCACACGGATACCTGCAAAAGGCAGCAGAAAAGCAAGTTAACATGTAAATTTGCTCTGTGTACTACAGATTCAACTTTTATTCGTGCTACCTACTAAAGTGCTGCCCTAATACTTCTTGCAAATAAGAGAAAGTTATTGAATTTTCTTTAGTCATTTAACATATTCTAATATTCATTTGCTGACTATATTTTCAATAATCATTGTTTTTATTTATAAGAGTTTTGAATTAGGAATTATTCTGAGAGAAATATTTTTCTCTCAATTACACAAAAAGAAGAAGGATTTTTGAATAATAAAAAATATAAATTTTTCCTCTATATCTATCTAAATTGATGATAAAATGATATTATGATATAATACAAATGATATTATCAATTATATTATAACTGACAATAAAATAATATTAAAATAATTATAAAGAATGAAATGGCTTCAAGTTAACTCAGGTAGAGAAAAGTTGAATAAATACATTGAATATGAATTAACGAAATTGTCAAGAATGATATAAAGTCAATCCTTATACATAATTTAACTAGTCGAAATGGGGAAGCGTTATCTTGGATTTCGCAGTAATTGATATTGGCGTTGAGTTACACAGTAACTGACATTGACACTGAGTCGCTGTAACTAACATTGGCATTGTCATTCGCAATTGAATCGGAAAATTCAGTTCCTCGCCTTCATTTAAATTTCACGCATGCCCGACAATTTTACTCACGCTGAATATAGTTGTTATATTTTTAGCTATACTTTAGCGCGGCCAAATCAAGAGAACAAGTCGGGAGTCCTATTAAAGTGAAATATTCGATGTCAGTTTTGTAAAATTTTAATCAACTGTTTGTATATATATATATATAGGTAAAATTGTGTATAAACATTGTTAAAGTTTTATTATCAAGTTTTATAACAATTCATATTTAATTTTTATTTTAAACCTAACAATTTCCGACATTTTGACTCTTTTCAATCCAATTTTTTTATGAAGAAAATATATTTGGAAGAGGCTAAAAATACATATACGCTCATAGTTTCTTTCTACACAGAACCTGTGGACAGTCCTTTGAAAAAGAAGGAATGCGGAAGCACCGTGATATTCTCCTGGATGACCGCATGTGTGCCAGCCTGTGCACATTTTCGGACACTTTTACGCGATGCCGAAACTACGGGCCCGTGAAATCGAACCCACCCGCGCGCCCGCTCATACGTGAGAGCGCGCTCCCGATAATAACGCGCTTTAATTTTGGAAAATCTCTACGGTCGCTTTGCAGACCTAATGATGTGTGCGGGACGTGGGAGAACGGCCGTTTAAGGTGTAAACTCTCGTGAAGCGCGTTTTGCGTGTTATCTACCTACCCAGTGGCGGGGGTGGAATTCAACCGCACCCGCTTTGTTTGCGATCTAATGTATCGAATGCACGCTTATACGTTGCTACGATAACAATCGCTTCCAAAGCATACTTTAATTACATATTTATCGCGAGAACTGTCTTTTTATATTAGCAAGTATTGAGTTATATGTATTTTTGTGCACAATCGAATCATTGTCTTTACGAAAAGTCAGACGGAACAAAGTAAATTGATAAAACAGGATATCTATTTTGTTGGAAAATAATGCGTTGAATGATGCATGCATTTTTTTTTCTAATTTTGCAGTAACAACGATGAAATCGATGACTTGTTTTGTAATATCGTCAGGAAGCTAAAAATTAGTTATTTTTCCGAGAACTATTTTGCTCGAATTATTATATTTTAGACTTGATACAAAAAATTTTGGCAAATACAAGACTTTATATAGCTGGTAATATTATAGCGATCACTCGTAATTCTAAATCTTTTGCATTTGTTACGCAATTTCCTTGAATTGCCAAAGTATTTGCCTTTTTGTTTTGATTTTTTCCCGCAAGTAATAATGGCTGTTCATATTCAAATACGCATAGCCGTCGATCAGAGTAAAAAATTGCGTATCAAAAAGCGATGAGGGAACAAGAGACAGAGAGAAAGAGAGAGGGAAGGAGGGAAAGAGATGAAAAGGAGATAACGCCTAACGAAAAAAAAGCTTTTTTTTTTCAACTTTCATGCAAATCCGTGGCCTGTAATTGCCGGCGGGCGAACGGAATCTGTACCCCCGTTCTCTCTTTCGTTCGAAACAGGGTGGCTGCGACAGCCGGATCTGCTAGCCGTGTTTGCCTCGTTTGTCTTCCGATTTGGCTGGCTGTGATCAATGACGAAGGAAAATCTGTCGTTTTCACATGGCGACGAAATCTGTCGAGCTGTGAAAACACCGTGAATCTTCGAGCGTAGTGATGGAGTTATTACCAGCGCCCATCAAAAATGCATATTGTTCCTTTATAGGAATAGAACGCGTAATTTTCGGAATGCGAAATTTCTGACAATCTAATACGAGATTCAATCTTTTGGTATATACGCGCGCATTATTCAGTCTTTATGTTGATAACAATCAAATTTTTATATTTCTTATAACGTAATGTCACGTTAAAGAAATTTATGCCCGTGATCAATATCTCGATGTCTCCTTCGAGACATCTTTTTTATTTCCTTTTTTTTTTCTTTGTCGCGCACGCACAAATATTTCCAAATAAGATGGGATTTGTCCTTCTCTGAGGCTTTGGGGCTTTCAACATATCCAGCATTTCGAGAGCTTCGACGAGAATTTCTCGACTGAATCGTATTCGTCTTCTTCAAACGATAAATGCTGGGTACATCGGAGACGGGGATCCTCAATGCCTTGTACGTGTGCCAGGGGAGGGTTGGCGGAGGTTTCAAGTTTCGAACACTCGTGAGTCGGAACGAATGTTTCCCTCATGGAAGATTAACGATTGGTGGGGAGAGACCGCTACTTCTCTTTCCTTACGGCTCTAAAAGTTCTCTCCTTTTGTGTTTCAGAATTTACGCTCGATCCTCCCGGAGCTCGACACATCGGTAAGTCGTGCAATTTTAACAACTTCCTTTCTTAGGCGACGTTATTCTGTCAACGACACAGCAGCCCGTAGCATTACAAAATTGGACGTTCTAGCATGTGATGCACGATGGAATAGTTAAAGACATAAAAGATGTATGATCCATTATTTCAAGAGCCCACTTATATTATAATGGATTAGGTATTGGAAAGTTACAAATGCGAATAACATTTTGTGCTCTTATCTAACATAAATATTGAATGATGTGTTTGTTGAAGAAAGAAAACTTAAATTTCATTTAACAAAATACTAAATATTTTACACACACACAAACACACACATATATATATATATATATATTTTTTTTTATTTTCTTTCTTTTAACGAGAACGTACCTATATCGATAGAAAATGTATTGCACGAAAAACCGTATGATCGAGTAACTCGCGGAGAAACGCCAATTTCACCGTACACGTGATTGCATATTGTTCGCGGTATTAGCAGCCGGAAGGCTTACCTCGGGTTCGATGACTGATCGATGCGTATCGATTAGCGTCGACGCTCTCAGATCGCTTTTTACCGTCGATTTGAAATTTAAATCAACCGAGGGCAACATATATGATGCACATTGACACACGGGCGTACAAACACATCTGACCGGTGCGCTTGCGTCGCATCATCCCGAATTCCGGCCGGATCGATCGAAAGTGCATACATCGATGCAGATATTATCATGGTCGCGATGTCGAGTCGCTATATTTGAACGCAGCGGTAAATTTTCAGTTCGCTGCGAGCTGAGAGGCAACGAATTCTCCAGCATTCGTCGCGATTCCTCCCGATTACGAACGGCCAGCGGTGGTTTCAGTGTCAATGACTTATATATCATCGTGAAATATCTGTAGAATGATAACATGAATTTTGCTTTATTCGATAATCCGGTTGAATAATATTAATCATGGTTTTATTTTTTTGACCAAACTGACATTTATTATTACGTTAACTCGACGTTTCGACACTGGTTTTGTGTCCTTATCAAGAGATTTCTAAAAGTATACAAAACAAAGTCGTTACAAGCATGTTGTTACAGAAACGAATATCGCACGAGAAACAATCAAGGGAATATCTACCTATCTCATACTGTTCGCAAATTGCATTCGCCACCCACAAAGTTCTTGCAGTTCTACTAACATTGTCAAATCTTAAAAAAGTCGCACTCCAGAGAGAGCCGCAGTCATGATATGAACGGAACCGACCGGTGACACGTCGTTCCGGATCGAAAGACAGCGACTGACTAATCGCCGATATATAAATAACGACTGTATAGGTCAAACAAATAAAAATACCGCTTAGAAAGAAATTACTACGTGGCTCTTATGATTCTATCGTATAGCGGATTGAGATTCTCAGTGTCTTTCTTTAAATTGATCGTGTTCTTTTGTTCTTTTTTTATGTAAAACATCTCTGCAATCTCCCTCTTCCTTACATTTCTCTCTCTATGTATAATTTCCGTATCGGACCATTTAAAATTATGCCCGTGTGTAAGTCGGTGACAAATCAAAGAATTTTGGGAAAATATTAATCATATTGAATTGCATTAATATTTAATAATTAATGTCATATCATCGGAAATGAGATTGAAGAGATTCTCTCATTTTCTCAATTATCGAAGAAACTCTAGAATGATAAAGCTCAGTACAATATAATAGCTAATGCAATAAATGGTTGAAAAATATGTGGGGAAACAAATAAGTTGTACAAGATTTTTCTCAATTTTTTTTAAATTTTATTGTTTATCATACAACTTCCAAGCTTATTTTGTTAAAAATGATATTTTTTATTTATTTAAATGTTAAAATTCTTATTGTATTATTTAAAAATCAATGCTTTGACATTTTTAAAAAAGAAATTGCTTACATCCTAGTTAAAGAATCACGCCATGTAAGAGCATGGATGCATATGTTAGAAACTATCTTGTGTATTATTTTATATGTATTTCTTTTTAATAAGAAACACGAATAGCGCATTTTTAATTTTTACCGCGTTGACATGCAGTTTAATTAGAAAATCTTATTTTTAGTCACATATGGAAAACAATTGCACTACGCGATCTCTTTCTTTTTCTACCTTTTTTCTTTTTTTTTTCGTCATTCGTAAATGTACATACATTTCCGTGTGCCGATGGCAATGTACGCCGTGTTAGTCAGGACTACGGATGTGCTTTTCCGACTACGTGATGTCCGAACATCCGACATCTGCGACGTACTGCCAACACGTTGCTACTAGGACGGACGCGACAGCTCTAACCGCGGAATTATTATTGCGAGCGAGTGTGTAACGCCTGCCAAGCTTCGAAACCCGAGTGGTAAACGGGTATAGGCATTATAACTGATCTGTCCGTAGTCATGGCAGCTTCGCCGCTCGGTTCGATACCGAGCAAGATTATACTTGTGCGATAGGAAAGCATACTTCATCGAAGATGAACGGCTCACGCAGCTACACCGACAAGCATATATACTGCTATATGTATATTATAGCATATAATATTTCGTCTATACAATACAGCATAGCTCGTGGCAGTCATCGTAAATACACTAGTACGCAAGACAATCATTTATAGAAAATGTTTAACTTGTAACCTGAGGGAATAAAAATTATTATTTAAACATAGAGAATGTTGAATTGTGCCGTTTTTTAATTAGTGAAAGCAGCAAATTATTTGCATATTAAACTTTAGAAGAAGGGCAATAAAATAGATAACATAAAAAAATTCACTCTTTTTTCAGTTAATTTTATTTGAATCAATTTAATTTGAAATAATCGCGCAAAAGCTTTTATTCATGTGCCTATAGTGTAATTTAAAAGAATATTTTATAATAACATGAAGAAAGGGGGATAAAAATATTTCAACTGCAGAAGATTAACTGAGCTCAACGGTCGATTTGATTTCTGGCGTTGTGTGGTATAATTCCGCGGCTTGCATCGGTCCAGATGAACGAAGTTATCAGATAGGTTGGTTATATGGGGGGTTGAGGTGGGAATGTCCCGATATTTGCGGAAAGCTGGCAAAGTTTCCCTCGCAGCAGTAATATAGCGTCTGCGAAAATCGATATTCGATAATCACGAAATTCCAGAGAGGCTTGCGGCATCGCCTTTTCTTGCGAGTCTTGCCGCAAGATATTAAAAGGCTCAAAAAAGAACGGAACCGTTCGCAAAATTGAAGAGCTTGGCGCGGTTTAATGTTAAACGCGCGATTTGATATGGCTTAGGAGTGTTATTAAAATATATAACCGCATTTTCTTGTATTATCCCCTTTTCAGCGTGGTGATTTATTATTTTATATTTTGAAATCGATTGATCTTATTTGATATCAAAATTTACAAGTTGAGAGCGAAAGAGAGAGAGAGAGAGAGAGAGAGAGAGAGAGAGAGAGAGAGAGAGTCTTCCTTATTCTTGATTGTAAATAATCTAATGTCATGGTTAACAAGAAAAGAAAGTGTTATATCTTTTACACATAAGATTCAATTATATATGTATATCATACTTTGTACATTCTTTATAAAGGAACTATTATTCTAAAATTTTATTTTAAAAAATATTTTTAAACTGAGCACATTGATACATATAAAAAAAAATATGTATCTAAAAGCGATAAAAGCATTTTTACAATTTTTCACTAGTTTCTTTTCTGGTTGCAAAAAAATTTATTATAACTCTGTTAATTTAATATAAAATTGTATACGACATACACTTCGTATATTTTAGAAAAACATATCGACGTTAATTGCGACGAGCACGCACCTGGTAATTATTTATTTTAATCACATTACTATTCATTTATATGTCGTTTAATTCTCTCTTTACTAAATCTCACTGATGTCCTGTAATGAGAAGTTGCAGCATTTACTTAACAAATACGTGCGTTTAATTACATATATATAGAAGTGGTTTGCTTGAATAATATTTCTCTATGACAGTAGTACCTGAGCTCAATGTTTACATAATGGTACTTTACTCGGTAGAATGGTTTACGTAGGTACTCTTTCCTAAAATGGATGAATGTTTTTTTACCTACGGATTCTTTAAAATACATACAAAACTTTATTTTTCTTTTCACGAAACTATTAAAGTAAATAGTAAAGTAAATGAAAATATGTAGGTTGGAACGCCGGGATAAATAATCGTTCTCATAATTTTCATTAAAGAATTAGTTAATAAAGAAACGAGGATTTGCAATAAAGAGTAAAGTTATAATTTACCAATTGTAATGAAAATATGTTACTTAATGTTATTAACATTGGATGCTAAAAAATTTGGATATAACATTGAGAGACAGATTTCATAAGATACTTTAATTTTTGTCATTATTTTTTTACTATATTATTGTCAATATTTAAAAGATTTTGTAGCGTCGCTATCAACTTATAAACGATTATTTTTCTAAATTTTCTTTATTACTATATGCTATTTGTCGAAGAAAAGCGCTTTTCTTCTCACAAATCTTTCAGCGTATCGGCAGGCAAGCAGTAGATTTATGTACTTCTGACTTATTTCTACTAAAAATTTTATAGAAACACAGCTTGCGGTTTTCATTCTCGCGCAAATGCAAACGTAAGCTGTGCTGCGTTAGTTTAGTATACTTACATATCGAAGTAATAAGGTCGTTGCTACGCGTGTTTTATCGTTCCTCTGTGCGTTATTTCTGTTTCGTCGCACAAACGGAAGCACGCTTGGTTAAGACGACTCACTTTGTTTTTCTGTACTCGAACGAAACAGCAGAAGCTGAGCATGTACCATATTGGTTTCTCAAGAAAGGAAAATTTTGATTGAATGCTACTTGTGAGATCATCTCTTTTTTTAGAATTATTCAAGCAATCAAAATAAAAAGCTTCAGTTTTTATCGGTTTTTTAAATAGTCGGATAAGAAATATATTTATTTAATATCACACGTGCAACACAAATCTCTTGTTTATCTTACAAAAACAAGATACACGCTGTTATTGACATAATTAAAAATGGCAATCA